TTTTTTTTTTTGCTTTGCTTTTTATTTGTAATCTGTAAGCGTTGATGGATTCTGTATTCTGTTCTACGCATATCGGGCTAATCGTCTGGGTTTTTTTGCTGTTTTGACGTCGAATTTAGCTATCAACAAAATACTGTTTTGATAAGTTCTCGCTGTCTTTTTTTTTAGGTTTTTTTTAATGAGCAGATTCAATTTATATGATGAAAGCTATTGAATTATTTCTATTATATATTCATAAATAAATATAATTTTTCAGCATTTTTTTCTTCTCTACTATTCTTTTTCTTCTGTCTTACTCTACCAACAAAAGACAACATTTAAGACGGACGACAGTGGGAAGAACACAGTACGGCGAAAAGTTACTCACTTTTTTCTGAACGCTAATAAACCGTAACAAGTATAACAAGTATTATTTGTCGAGCTAAGAGAACAAAGCTTAGCGTATAACCGAAGCTTTAATGCACAACAGGTTGAAAGGTATTGATAGATAATTTCACTAAAAAAGTCAATGAATAAATAAATAAGTATGACAGTAAATTTTAGTAAATTCTGCTTTTTTGCTTTACTTTTTAATAATCTTTAAAAAAATTTTGCTGTCAATTTATAATCATTTTGAATGCATACAGTCTTTGCCACCTAACAAACTGAGGTTTTTGACTGTCTGAGACGATGCGAGTAGAACAAAAAAATTTAGGATAAAATAAAAGTGGAAATTAAGTCAGTAATTTTTTTTCTTATGATTTTTTTTGTTTGATTGCTGTTATTCGTTTTGACAACAATAATTTAAAAGAAAAATAAAGCAGCAAAAATATCGTTTAGTGTTGGGTGTTTTTAAAGAAAAGCTGATAGTTTGATGATGGTTTTTTTTCACTTGTTTTGATATTGACTGTAAAAATAGTGATCTTTAACCGAATTTAATAGTTTAGAAAAATTTAAAAAGCGAAATTAGTGCTGTTCAAAAAAACTGTTATTTTGACGATTCGTTGTTGTCGTTCAAATAAACAAATATGATTGATAAAAGTAAAGACTTCGTTTTTGTTTTTAATTTCAAAATACGCCTAATTATTGAACGATTAATTCAAATAGAAGATTAAAATATTTTTGGCTAACATATGGCAAGGCAAAGGTTTTTTTAGTCATCATTCGGGAGGAAGCTGTTTGTTTCTAGGCAAAACATGAGCAGAAACCTGTTAATATCTGATTTACTTATTTTTCTTGCAGAAATCAAAAAGGAAAGTTTAGAAGTAGAAAACAAATTGAAGAAAAAAAAAAGATAAAAGAAAAAAATAAATTTCTTTTTAGTTTGAGCTTTTATCTTTTTTCTTTCTCTTTTTTTTGGCTCTTATCAAAGAAGAAGAACTTTTTGCCCAACTATATCTGTATATACTTAGTTCAACTTAATCGCTAAAAAAAATTTATTAGCATCTAATACACATCTAAAATGAGGTCTATTTTAGCAGTTTGGGGAAAGCTATGATAACACCCCGGCTATTTTACATGATAGCCAGCCTTGTTGCCCTTGTACGTTCGGTACAACGAATTGCTGAAGGCCCGGTGGACACAAGTGCTCGAATTGGCAGTACAGTGTCGTTAAAATGCCGTGTTGCAGATCAGGTTTATTTTTACATTGATACAAAATAGTACTAGTCTATTGAATGAATCTGCAGTTGTTTGTAGTTGAAGATAAATTTCAAAAGTTGCTAAAAAGTAAAAAAATTTTGCTTAAAAATATGACAAGATAAGATGCATCTTATATCACTTGTGCTACGTTTGACAAATTACCTGTAAATAGAAAACTTTTTTAAAAACTTAAACGGCATTAGTTATATGAATCGTTAATGTCTGAAAAGACAGAATTTTTTTGAGGATGGAACAGTTATGTGGACGAAAAACGGTTTTGGTATTGGCGAAGATCGAAATCTAAGTTTCTTCGCGAACTACTGGTTAGAGGGCAGCCAGGCTAAAGGGGAATATCATCTAAGAATAGCAAATTTGACTATGAGTGACGAAGCCGTCTTCAGATGTAGTGTTTCAGCAACCAATAGAAGTCAACTAGCACTTTCTAGAGAAGCCAGGCTAACAGTTTTGGGTTTGTTATTACTTTTTTTTAAATTACGATTTAGACTCTAAAAAATTAAACGTACGTAACCTTATCATGAACTTCTGACTACACTAAATAGTTCGAGTTGCAGTGCTTTTAAAACACTTGGATATTCAGTGTTTTTTTTTTCTGTTAATCCTATTTTAACGAAAAAAAGAGAGAAAATTTATCATCACCAATAGTTCAATCTTTTTTTCGCTATTTTTGATGTTATGTCTTGTAAAAATTTAGTTAATTATGCCTGTTTACTGAATTCTGAGCAGCAATTTTTTTTATCAAAAAAGTAGCATTTATAGTTTAAAAAATTACTATTTTTGCCTAAATTCTTCAAAATATAATAAATTTTTTGAAAATCAAACATTTTAGATCAACAACATCTATAAGTTGTTATTACTCTAGCGATTTTTGTCAAGATCACTAAAATCTTTGCATGTTCTTTCCTTCTTTTGAAAAGTTGCAAGCAAGTTTTAGCTAAGATTTGGAACCAGTTCAAAATCACAAAAAGAAGGAAAAGGATTGACTTGTAGACAGAACATGTAAGGTTTCTTGTGTATTTATCTGGCGGTTTTTTGTTGGGTACCAGCAATGTGTTTTGTTTACCAAATGACGTTAATTAGCCGCTAAAGCAAAGAAGGAAAGAATCAACGAAAAATGTTCAACAAGTAATAGCAAACTATGTGGATAAAGCTATATTTTCTCGTTTTGCTCTTCCCAATTCCCCATAGAGCAATTTAAACATTTTGGAAACATCAAAGGTTTCATCTGTATGCTATTTATAGAAGAAATTAGTTCAAATCATTCTCAAAAACAGGGAACAAAGATAGAAAAGCAGAAAAAAAAAAAAACAAATGTATAACAATAAGGAAATTTAACTGGTTTAAATGTGCCGCAGAAGATACCAAACCGATAAGACACAGCAAATGAGCCGAAAGAGAATAAAGTTGGGGACGATTTTATAAAGATTCTCTTTTCAAAAATTTACGGGACTAATTTACCGGACATTGATAATTGTTAAATTTTTCGCAGTAACTTCCATTTTACCGACTCATTTTAAATTTTTTACTGAGAGATTTTTTTATTTCTGTTTTTTTGTCTAAAGCATAAACAACAAAAATCTTATCGAACATTTAGCCAAAAAAAAGCGTTGTTAAATAGACTTAGAATTTCTCAGTGATGTATACAGTAGGTAAAATTGATATGAGGATGATACCGTCAAAATAAGTTTTTAAACTATGAGAGGTTTTGTATTGCGGTTATTTTGAACAGTCATAGTCAGAGAAACTATCCCATATATAGTAGAACAAATCTAAATTATTATATTTTCTCAAAATTTCTTGTCAACACTCTATTAAAAAATATAATCCCATTTGTCATAATTTTAAACTAAACTGTGAAAAAACTAAATAACTCAAGAATTTGGGTAGAGAAAATATTTGTTTGTAGAACAAGACTAATAAATGTTGTGAAATAGAATCTTTAAGGTTGATTGTAGTTTCAAAAAAATTTTTATTTACTGACAAATAGCAATATTTTAGTGGAACCTGAACCACCAAAATTTCGCGAAGAAGTGTCTGCGATAGTAAAAGTTATTGCTGGAAGACCATTTGATATTTCATGTGAAAGCTTAAATGGTAAACCAGAAGCACAGATTAACTGGGCTTTATTTACGCAACGAGGTTCGGTTAAAGAATGGATCTGGCTTGGCAACGAAACATTTTCAAAGAAAGCTGAAGGTATATGTTGTAAATGTTTACTATTAAGCCAATTACCGATTTTTTCATTTTGAAGAGAGTTACAGCTGAGACCAACACTGCACAAAACTGCTGTAGTACATTGGATGTCTAAAAATTTGGTTTTACCACAAGTATGCGCAGAATAATGTCTGTTAATTATGGTATAAAATATTACCTGACTATAAGTTTACATAAACATCGAAGGTGTTTCTGTACCAAAAAATTTCAATTGAACAATAAAATTTTAAAGATCTTTATAGTACCTTTTGATATAGCAATAAAAGGATAAAAACGGCTATTTGCTGTTGATTATTCGCTTTTATATTTTTTTATTTTTTTATTTTTAAATGCCAATTTATCGTATTATCTTTTGAAACCAGCGTTAAAAATTTATAACTGCTTATCTTTTGTACTTTTCTTTAATATACAGTATATATTCTTTTTTTTTCAGTATTTCTTAGCTGAACAAGGTTTGTTTTTACAAACTTTTTGCTGCTGTTATTTCTCTGTTAATAGCTACAGTTTTAGAGTTTGAAAATTCAAAACAAAGTATTCGGGAGGAAGCAAAAGTGATAAAACGATCGTCCAGAACTCGTGATGGGAAATACAATGTTGTCAGCAATCTGACGTAATACTATGGCAATATCTATTGCTAGAATTTATATTGTCTTAACTGTTTTCTTCACTTTGAAATAAATTTGGTCTTGAACAGTTAGTAAGCAAATAAGACCAAAATGTTAGAAGCTAGACACAACTTAAATTAGCCAGAAATAAGTTGAATTACTGTCAACACGGATTTCTACTGTAGGTTTATTTCGATACCGGAGGATGACGGAACCTATTTAATGTGTTTAGCAGACCATGAAACTTACGATAAAATTCTTCCTGTTAGTGTTAAACTTGATGTCAATTATCCGCCAATGGTGAAGCTTTCGTTGGCGAACAACACAAAGTTAATCGAAGGTCAGAGTGCAACTTTGATTTGTGAAGCAAAAGCGAAACCAGCAAAATTCCTAAAATACTTCTGGTATAGGAATGGAACAAGAATTGCTGTCGCTAATCCAAATGTAATTGTTTACCTATTCAAGAATTTATTCTTAATTATGTTCAGCCAAAAGGCTTAGTATATTTTCGCTGTTATAAAAAAGAGCTGGAGAAACTTCTAACATAAATTGCAGAGTATTATAAAAGTAAAGTTTTTAGCAATTTTTTATTCCCAAATTGCGTCTGGAGCATCATCAAGAAGAAATTAAATGTGAAGTGAGTAACCCAATTAACGTCACATCAGCTTCGTTGGTTCTTGACGTTTCCTGTAAGTATCACGGGTTAATTTATTTGATCTATAAAAGATAATTAGCCTAAAAGTTATCTAATATTGATGATAACATTGGTAATTAATTTTCTGTTTTTACACATTAGTTTTTAGATGGTCCACGTTTCAAAACGCCTCCTAGAGAACTGGAAACAAAGTTGGACGAAACAGCTCGATTTCATTGTGAGGCTGTCGGAAATCCAGAGCCAGAAATAACTTGGAAGAAAGTCGGAAGTGATGAGATAGTTGGACTGGGAAATGAGTTAGTTATATTTGCTGTTGATTTCTTGGAACTGAGACAGCATTAGTTGCTGGTGTTATATACTTAAAAGATTTAATTAATATGTCACCGTTTATGTATGTTTCTACTTATGTTCATATAACTTTTTCTTCATAACGAGATTTTTACACCAAACTGCAGAGTGTAAAGATTGGATTGAACAAAAGAGTCTTTTTAGTCTTGTCTTCAAATTTACCAATAATGGTGAACGAGGAGAGTATGAATGTGTTGCAACTGTTGAGGGTTTTAATCCAATTCAACAAAACTACTACCTCCACCTTATTGGAAAGCCTGCAATTAATCTTACAGAAAATGAGCAGACGAGTTTTAGTGAATCCAGGGAATTAATTTGTGAGGTAAACTGGCAGTACTAGAAAAAATCTCATTTTACAGAAGCAGTTATTTTACAAGCTGTTCCTAGACAGTTTTCTTTTTATAGTAAGAACTAATAATCGCTTTGTTCCAGATTCACAATAAGCCTTATCCAACTAACGTCACTTGGTTGCTGAATGGTCGGCCTATACGTGGTCACTCAAAAATAATCACTGTGGTAAGTCTCAATTAAGTTATCATTTGTCTCTAATTGAAAAAATTGCTGTAAATTTTTTTTGAAAACAGTTATATAAAATTTTGGTCAAGTTTTGACATACCTCAATTATCGTCAGAGGTTTCTGATTTGTTGCTACAAAAATATTTTTTGTATTATTGATTACAGCCAAAGAAATATACTTATGAAAGTCGCTTTATAATCAATGGAACTCAGGCTGAAAATTTTGGTGAATATACATGTTCTGCAAAAAATATTTACGGTACAGCTTCAAAGAGTATTCAAGTTAAGCAGCGGACGCTACTTGCCAGTTATCTATCAGGTAGGCTGCTAAAACTGTGAGACGGTATGAAATAAGGCATTCCGGTGGGAAAACAAATTGACAACTTTTTTGAGCAGCAGTAATAGTTGAATTGAAAGACCTGGAACTTGTTTTTTTTGTTATTTAGGAAGAAAAGCAACAATTTATAAAGCGCCAATGCTTTGTAGTTATATAGAGTTAATAGATAAACTCTGGAAACATAAAATTTTTATTTGTACAACCAAGTAACTAACTTTTGCTGTCGTCTAGGTTTCATCTCAGTACAGTACATTCTGCCAGTGGTTATTGCAATAATATCAATATGTGGTATGATTGGGTGCTTTGTTTGCATAGTTCGTTATAAACGACGGTACTATAAAAATTCAGCAAGGCTTAACGGTATTTTATTTTAATGTCGGCCAATCTGAAACTTTTTATTTAATATCACGCTGCTCCTTCTTTTTACAAAAGTCTAATCTTTAACTCTTTTTTTGGACAGTATGAATGTCTTAAAAGTTTAATAAATATTGAACAAACTTTCATTTAAGTTATTTCATATGTTTTTAAAAATGCTTTATCAGATGTTTCACAATTTTAAAAATTTTAAAAGTTTTCAAATTTTAGATGAACAGTCAGATGTCACCGTGAAGTGCGAAACATTAGATGGTGGTCAATTTTTTGCTGACACTTGTTCACCGCCTCCAGTGGATGGTCGAGATATTCACTTTTCTAGGGTAAATTTAGTTTA